AAAAAAAAAAAAGAAAAAAAAAGAAAAAAGAAAAAAGAAAAAGAAAAAAAAAAGAAAAAGAAAGAGAAAAGAAAAAGGAAAAAAGAAAAGGAAAAAAAGAAAGGAAAGAAAAAAAAAAAAGAAAAGAAAAGAAAAAGAAGAAAAGGAAAAAGAAAAAGAAAAAAAGAAAAGAAAAGAGAAAGAAAAAGAATAAAAAAAAGAAAAGGAAAAGAAAAAAGAAAAAAAGGAAAATGAAAAAGAAAAAAAGAACAAGAAAACGAAGAAAGAGAAGAAGAAAACTGCACTCGACTGGGGTATCAATCTCCCTTTAGCGTGGCAGCGCAATCAGGAGAGACTGCACCATCTGATCGACGCTTCCAACGCCCTGCCAATAACCGTAAACACTGATGGGCAACATACACGCAGCCACGCACAAACACACATACACATACACACCACATACGCTTACATACACATACACACACCACATGCGCATACACACCACATACGCTTACACACATACACACACCACATGCGCATACACACCAAATACATATATGTATACGATTACACACACATACACACATACCACATACGCATATACGTATCTGCATACATTTAGCCTTGCATATGCACGTTTATATATACATAAATATGTGTATGCTCTCTCTCTCTCTCTCTCTCTCTCTCTCTCTCTCTCTCTCTCTCTCTCTCTCTCTCTCTCTCTCTCTCTCTCTCTCTCTCTCTCTCTCTCTCTCTCTCTCTCTCTCTCTCTCTCTCTCTCTCTCTCTCTCTCTCTCTTCCTCTTCTCTCTCTCTCTCTCGCTCTCTCTATCTCTCTTTCTATCTATCTGTCTTCCTCGCTTCCTGTTTCTCTTCTCTCATCCTCTTTTCTTTCTCTTTCTATCTTCCCCCCCTCCCCCCTCTCTCTCTCTTCTACTTATGTATCTCCCTCCTCCCACCCTCCCTCCTCCTCCTTCCTTTTTTCTCCCTCTCCCTCCTTCCTCAATCTCTCCCTCTCCTTTCTCTTTCCTCCTCTCCCTCTCCTTCCTCCTTCCCCCCCTCTCCTTCCCTCCTTCCTTTCTCCTCTCCATCCCTCTCTCCTTCCTTCCCTTCATCCTTCCTCCTCCTCCCTCTTTCCCTTACTCCTCTCTATCCCTCCCTCCTCCCCTTTCACCCTCCCTCTTCCTTCCTTCCTTCCTCCTCCCTCCACCCTCCACCCTCTCTTCCTTCTCCTTCCTTTTTCTCCCTCCATCTCTCCCTACTCTCCTTCCACCCTCCCTCCATCCATCCTCCCTTCTTCTCCCTTCCACCATCCCTCTTCTTCTCTTCCTCTCCCTCTCCATCTCTCCATCTCTCCCTTCTCCTCCTTCCCCTTCCCTTTCCTCCTCATCTTTAATCCTCTCCTCCTCCTTTTTCTCCCTCTCCATCTCTCCCTCTCTCCTCCCCTTCCCCTTCCTTTCTCCCTCTCCTTCCACTCCTCTTTCCTTCCTTCCACCCACCCCTCTTTAATCCCTCTTCCTCCTCCTCCTTTTTTCTCCTCTCCATCTCTCCCTCTCTCCTCCCTTCCCTTCGCCCCCCTCTTCCTTCCTCCTCCTCCCCCCCCCTTTCGCAACACAGCCCACATAAAGCTCACAGCCAATCAAACCAACAACACTTAGGGATTAATGTTGCAACGAAGCGCAACGCGGATTCAGTCGATCCGGTCAATCGAGGTCGATACCAAGGAGGAGGTTAATGGCGATTTAAGGGAAGGAGAAGAGATTAATGGCGATTTAAGGGTAGGAGAGGAGAGGCGATTTAAGGTAGGAGAGAGATTAATGGCGATTTAAGGGGAAGAGAGATTGATGGCGATTTAAGGAGAGGAGAGGAGATTAATGGCGATTTAAGGGAAGGAGAGGAGATTAATGGCGATTTAAGGGAAGGAGAGGAGATTAATGGCGATTTAAGGGTAGGAGAGGAGATTAATGGCGATTTAAGGGGAGAAGAGATTATGGCGATTTAAGGGAGGAGAGGAGATTAATGGCGATTTAGGGAAGGAGAGAGTTAATGGCGATTTAAGGGAAGGAGAGGAGATTAATGGCGATTTAAGGGAAGGAGAGGAGATTAATGGCGATTTAAGGAGAGGAGAGGACGATTAAGGAAGGAGAAGAGATTAATGGCGATTTAAGGGAAGGAGAAGAGATTAATGGCGATTTAAGGTAGGAGAAGAGATTTATGGCGATTTTTAAGGGAGGAGAGAGATTTAATGGCGATTTAAGGGAAGGAGAAGAGATTAATGGCGATTTAAGGGAGGAGAGATTAATGGCGATTTAAGGGAAGGAGAAGGAGATTAATGGCGATTTAAGGGAAGGAGAAGAGATTAATGGCGATTTAAGGGTAGGAGAAGAGATTTAATGGCGATTTAAGGGTAGGAGAAGAGATTTAATGGCGATTTAAGGGAAGGAGAGGAGATTAATGGCGATTTTAATGGCGATTTAAGGGAAGGAGAGGAGATTAATGGCGATTTAAGGGAAGGAGAAGAGATTAATGGCGATTTAAGGGAAGGAGAAGAGATTAATGGCGAATTTAAGGGAGAGAAGAGATTAATGGCGATTTAAGGGTAGGAGAAGAGATTATTGGCGATTTAAGGTTTAGGCGAGGGGAAAAGAGATTTATGGCGATTTAAGGAGTTAATGGCGATTTAAGGGTAGGAGAAGAGATTAATGGCGATTTAAGGGAAGAAGATTATGGCGATTTAAGGGTAGGAGAAGAGATTAATTTAGGCGATTTAAGGGAAGAAGAGATTATGGGATTTAAGAGGAGAAGAGATTTAATGGCGATTTAAGGGTAGGAGAAGAGATTAATGGCGATTTAAGGGAAGGAGAGGATTAATGGCGATTTAAAAGGGAAGATTAATGGCGATTTAAGGGTAGGAGAAGAGATTTATGGCGATTTAAGGGTAGGAGAAGAGATTAATGGCGATTTAAGGGTAGGAGAAGAGATTAATGGCGATTTAAGGGTAGGAGAGGAGATTAATGGCGATTTAAGGGTAAGGAGAAGAGATTTAATGGCGATTTAAGGTTAGAAAAAGAGATTAATGGCGATTTAAAGGGAAGGAGAGAGATTAATGGCGATTTAAGGGAGGAGAAGAGATTATGGCGATTTAAGGTAGGAGAAAGATTAATGGCGATTTAAAGGGTAGGAGAAGAGGGCGATTTAAGGGAGGAGAGGAGATTAATTACGATTTAAGGTAGGAGAAGAGATATTTAAGGGAAGATTAGACGATTGGAATTAATGGCGATTTAAGGCACGGTTTACAAGGGAGAAGGAGATAGAACGGGCGGGCAACGGTTTGGGAAGTGTGATGAATCGGGCGGTATTTTGCATGCACGTTATTTCTCTTCGTCGTGTTCGCTTCCGCTCGCCTCTCCCTCTAAAAAAAATCCATGAAAAGGGTGAAGTAAAAGAAGAAAAGAAAGAAATGTGAAAAATGTGTAGAAATATGTATTGAAAAATATTGAACAAACTGAAAAAAGATCAAATGAAAACACGTGAACATCGAAAAAAAAAACAGAAACAAAAGCAAACACAGAAAAAAGAAAAGAAAGAAAGAAAACAACAACATAAATACGTGATAAGAATCTTTCACTGAAGTTGTATAAAAGTGGAGAATAAAAAATCACCAAAACATAAAAAGAAAACACGGAATAAACATTAGGAAACCAAAACATCAAAAGTGGAAATATGAAAAAAACGGCGAAAAAACAAAAACATAAACACGTAAAAAAAAAACCTAAATCCGAACCGCAAGAAGGGATGAAAATGGAATAAGTTTACCGCTTGATGCACGAAAGAGCGGAAATCTCTCCATGCGCTATTGGTTCCTGGACCTTATGGCCTGAGGGAAGCGAAATGATTCAGAATCGATGAGAATACCAACGCAATGTCACCTCAAGATGTTTGAGATGCGTTCCCGGAATTGCAATATTGGCGTGTTGCAGAGGAGGATGATTAGAAATGCAATCGAGTTTATAACGGAGATTCTTCCTTTTATGCGTGCCTTGTTCTCTCGTTTTCCTTTCTCTCTTGTTTTACATGCACAAGCAGACAGGCAGACAAATATCTATCTATCTATCGCTCATCTCTCTCTCTCTCTCTCTCTCTCTCTCTCTCTCTCTCTCTCTCTCTCTCTCTATATATATATATATATATATATATATATATATATATATATATATATATATATATATATATACATACACACACACACACACACACACACACACACACACACACACACAACACACACACACACACATACACATATATATATATATATATATATATATATATATATATATATATATATATATATATATATATATATATATATATGGTAGATAGATAGACAGATAAATTGAAGAGAGAGAGAGAGAGAGAGAGAGAGAGAGAGAAGATAGAGAGAGAGAGAGAGAGAGAGAGAGAGAGAGAGAGAGAGAGAGAGAGAGAGAGAAGAGAGAGAGAGAGAGAGAGAGAGAGAGAGAGAAGAGAGAGAGAGAGAGAGAGAGAGAGAGAGAGAGAGAGAGAGAGAGAGAGAGAGAGAGAGAGAGAGAGAGAGAGAGAGAGACAGAGAGAGAGAGAGAGAGAGAGAGAGAGAGAGAGAGAGAGAGAGAGAGAGAGAGAGAGAGAGAGAGAGAGAGAGAGAGAGAGAGAGAGAGAGAGAGAGAGAGAGAGAGAGAGAGGAGAGAGGAGAGAGAGAGAGAGGAGAGAGAGGAGAGAGAGAGAGAAGAGAGAGAGAGAGAGAGAGAGAGAGAGAGAGAGAGAGAAGAGAGGAGAGAGAGAGAGAGGGAGAGAGAAGAGAGAGAGAGAGAGAGAGAGAGAGAGAGAGAGAGAGAGCGAGAGAGAGCGAGAGAGAGAGAGAGAGAGCGCTCGCCCCCTCACCGGAGCCAAGCACAGCCTCTTCTCGGTCCATTAGTGAGCCGCAGCTTCGAGGAGACCCATTTAGCGACCCATAACCAAATATCTCCTGTCGGGACAACGATGACTGGCAAGGCTTTCAGCAGATTGTCCGATGGAAGTGTCACTTATCTGACACTAATGTACACTTTGGAACATCGTCAGAGTGTGCCTTAGACATCTGCTCGGATAATGTACACTTTGGGGCCGTATGAGATTATGCTTTAGACTGCTGTGCGAATAGTGGGTAGTTCGGAGCTTCATCGGATCATGCTTTAGAATCGTCAACTTTGCTTATATGTACATTTGTACATTTTTTTGGTTTACGACAACGCACCATTGTACGCCTTAGAACAGCATTAGATTATGTTTAAACGATTAACGATTTGTTGTACGCTAAGAAATCCTTAGGTTAGGATTTAGACAACTGTGCAAATAGTGTACATTTCGGAGCATCGGATCGTGCTTCGGGTCGTAGTCTTTTGGTGATTATGATTACATTTGATTTAGAAATATGAATAAAGATATGAAATTAGCAAAATGAAGTATAGAATATAAATATATGCCTCAAATTTGAAATACAGAACGAAACGGACGAAAAAAAAAATAAAAAAATAAAAATACAGGGACGAAATGTGAACGATGAGAAATTCAACTTTCTTGCTTAATTTTTATAAATTATTGTATCGTAGACAAAGAAGAAGGAAGCTGCGTAAAATTATATAACGGAAATAAGATAACAAGGAAAAAAGGCAAAAGACAATAGACAACAAAATAAGTTTAGAAGAAAAAACAAATTTGTAAGCAAATTAGATGAGGCGTTTCCATTTTGGTCTTCCATGCCGTGTCCTTCCATTGTATTTATTCACATCCTTCCTTCTTCTATAAAGGGAATAACACACGCAGCAAAAAAGGAGTTAAAACCAAAATAAACTAAAAGATAAGCAAGGAAGCAAAACAAATTTGTAAGTAAATTTAATAAGAGGTTTTCCTTCTTGGTCTCAATATATATATATCAACACCATTTTTATCGCAAGTTTCCATTCTGGTTCGGCTAAATAGTAACCGCATTTTCATACCCAGCACGAATTCCATTAGAGCCAGCACGCCAAAGGACAAATGCAATCAACGCCTGAAAACAAGAACAACAATGAAAAAAAGAAACAAAGAGGAAAGGCATAACAAAAACAAGGTCCAAACAAGGTCTCGACAAGTGAATATACTTATTAGGAACTCCCGAGTGCCATAAATAAGGCCACGGAAGGGCACTCGTACCTTGTGTGCCGTTTTTTTGGGTGCCAAGGATTCGACCCCTCAAAAAAAAAAAAAAAAAAAAAAAAAAAAGTTTAATATCAGCTAAATAAAAAAGAGACATATTTGATGTCCGTAATTCA